TAACAAAAGTAGTACAGGCAGTGTTACACTGCACTTTGGGGTCCAGCGCACTAAGGGGTCGAGCCCCAAAGTGTGTTACGTACTTTGGAGTCCAATTTTGACCCAAAAAAGCATTACACATGTACATAATGCATTTTCTAACATCAGACACACGACCGCGCTTTGGGGTCATAAAAATTCAATCAATAAAAAATGAATTTTCATGATGTTTCAGAGTAATATCTTGTATTCAAAGCCAATGGTTAACAAGAAAACAAGGTATTGAATAGACGCATTGCATAAAATCGGATAACAATAGCAGATTAGGCAATTTTAATTAATGAGACATTTCAATAAAAAATTTCAGTAAAGCGATATTGGTCGGGTGGTTTTTCATTAGTTGACTCGAGTAAATGGTGCGTTTTTTACGAAATTTCTTAAAACTTAATATATACATTTGTATAAAGAACAAATCGCAGGTCCGAATAGCGACTTTTGAACGTGGTGTAGTTGCTCTTATTTTACTTGAAGTAAATCTCCGTGCCTTTAAGCCTTAAGTAGCAGTGAAGATGATCCTCTTAACTAATACAATATAATAGATTTTTTTAAGTACGTAGCGTTCATTTTGTAATGGCTAACTGTACATCACTGTTCATCATAATGTAAAGTTCTCACTGGGGGGGGGGGGGCTAGAGAGGTGTCAACCCCCACCCCCAAGAGTATATATAAAGAAAGGTTTTCAAGGTCCATTACTTTTTTATTTGTATTTCTTTTTTTTTAATTTTGGTGTACTTCTATGAATTCCGAAAGGTTACTGGAATATAACAACAAAAAGATTCTGTCTGATCATGAAAATGTGTGTGCAAGAGTAAAGGAGGCTACCTTGTCAAAATTGATTCTAAAGACAAACTTTTAAGCGTTAGAGATATGTTGGTAGCCAGTGATATAATATCAGATTAATTCATTGATTGGTAGAAGCGAACGTTTCCTCATAGTCTTTAAAGGGATATTTCCAGTGGTATCCCGGATATCCGAAACATATAAATTCTTAAACCTGTTTACGGCTTACTGGAATAAGATCAAATACTACCAATCGATATTGAAACATTCAGAATAAGGCACAGGCACACACATTAGTGTATTATGGTATCTCAAACTGCCTTTATAAGTTACCATACAAGCCATACGCGCCTAAAAATAACACACCCAACTATTACTGACTTTTGTTTGTTTAATGCGTTTATTTAAGGTCGCCGCCGGAAAGACCATATGGGTGACCGTACACTCAAGTCGGGCCATCCTAGAGCGTCCCGCTGAGATTTTTTCGTCGATTTTCTTCCATCTTTTACAATGTAATAGCAATATAACTCAAGCAATTAAAGAAATATGTATTAACAAAGAAATTGTAAAAGAGCAAAACAACGTACGGAAAATGCTACTGCCTATATGAATTTAATTAGCAAATAACTGCCTATTAAGCGCACCTACAACTAGAAAATGATTGAAATGTTAGTAACCTTTACTAAAATGGATCTCTGGTTTCAAAGTAGCATAGTAAACAAACTGACAAAACCCAAAGGCACTTGAAATCTAAATGCCCTTATGGAACTATGGAATTTATATTATACTATGTAAATAGGGAAACTAATAATTTTGACCAACAACCGTTGTACCAAACAAAACTATTAAAACATGTTTTGGTACATAAATCTACACACAATTTTTAAATCATATCCACTATTTGCTGTTTGATCAACCAACATAAATATAACTTTTTACACGAGTTTTTATATCATACAAAATAAAACACATATTTGAATGAAGTTTTTAACAAGCTACCTATTCAAAAAAGCAATCAAGGAGTACTTTCTATATTTCATTCAAATCTCCCTATGTATATAATTATTAACTAAAAAGCACGTTTTCTGACAGGTATGCGGCGCAAGCTCTAGTTTCTTTTAATTAACTACCGTTAATACATAGTCTTAGAGTAAATTTAAATTTAAGTTTGGCATTTGTACCTTTTACAAGCCTTATCATAAAAATGTAGGGGTCCTAATAAGCATTAAAACTATCCTTAAGAAAACAATAAATGGTGACCCAAATAATTTGCAAGTGAGTCTACAAATTGTCTACCAATATTTGATAAGTTCCGCACATATTAATGTTTAAATGCAGACAATATCTTATTTTACACCTTAAAAATGTAACCAATGAATTTCAAGTATCCAAACCAATCCATATCAAATCCGTATTCTTTGTCGTCATGTTTCGCTACCATTTTCCATCCGAAAAAAGCGTTATGAAATCATATTGTATTCTATGTAAACATTTCTCTCAAAATGTCAAAAACAACGGTTTTGTGAAATTTAGAGGTCATTATACACTGCTGAGTATTGTTTTGAGTACTATACTGCTCTGCAGTGTTTTGATGACTTAAATATTTATTTGTGAACATGCAATGACAACACTGATTTACAATCAGGCTTGCTTGAGTCGTACTTGTACCATTGATATAAACGTGTCAGTTTTAACATTAACATTCAAATTAATGTTTATAGAGATGCTATTGATATTGGGAAATGTAAAATATCCTATCAAATAGGATAAACAAGATCGACAAGGAAAGGCGGCGTTCAATGAACGTAGCCCCCACCCGACCCAGCAACAAGCGTCAGCGGCAAGGAGCCCAGGAGGACCCCAAACAAAAACGGGACAGGGCACAAGGCAGAGCACGGGCAGGCAAACCACTACATAAGAATACCGAGTCTGCAAATTTCATGTAATTTTGCTTTTTTTTCCATGCTTCCGAGGGATCATTTTTTTCAAGGAATTTATTCATCACAACAGCAGGTGTCAAGTGCTGTGTGGAAGCCGTAAAAAGTTGCCCGTACTTCACTTCTGTGTTTTTCTGGTCCTTCGGGATCATTAAGTTCTGCACTTTTAAGTGTTTGAGAATTGAGTACTGCTCAAGCGGTGCTAGGGGGCGTGAGGGACGTTGCACATTTCATAACACCTCATGTACAGACTCACTCAAACGGAGTCTACAATTTTCATGTAATGTTGCTGTTTTAAATGCTTCTGAAGGATCACTTTTTCAGATATTGTTTTAGTGAATTGTAAATTTGTTACAGGACCTAGTCTATGTTACATAAATTCTTATACCCGTTTGACTGTGTGTGACGATATATATATATATATATATATATATATATATATATATATTATATATATATATATATATATATTATATATATATATATATATATACCAGTTACTAATTTAGCTTTATATGCACCATGCTATTAAGTGCTTTGTCGTATTGGTATTATTGTGTGCGTCCCAAGTCATTAAGTATATTATCGATAATTTCTGGCGCAAGATAATTAAACATAAACTTCTGAAGTGTTTGTCAAATTACTAAATTTGGTAAAGTTTGAGTTTTGTTGCGTGTAAATGTATATCATGTACTTTATATCATTGCTATAATATAACAACACGTACATTAATCATATAAACATGTTCTTTTTGTATAACAACAGTAACCATTATACTGTACATAAATCATATAAACATTCTTTTTGTGTGTCGCTAGTTTTAATCATTATTGTGACTGTTTTTTACTGTTTTTTTTTTATGTAAAAATATTCATATACTATAAATATATTAACTGTAACCTAGTGAAGTGTGCTGTACGTACAAACTATCTATGTTTCTATGTTAGATATCTTAATGTTAAGTTTATGATATCTACTTCATCCTGGTATGCAAAGCTTTTACTTTATTGTTATCTGTCATTTGCAGTCAGTGAATTACATTGAAAAAATGTTGATACTTAAGATTATCAAGTTATTGAAAACAAAGATGCTTTGTTATATTCATCATAACAACTTAAGTTGTTATGTGATAACATTTTTCTCTTCTTCTATCCTTATTGTATTTGTTTCTCCTATTCATTTTAATGTACATTACATTCATGTCTGACTTTTACATTAATTAACTTTTTCCCAAACACATTTTTTTGGTTGGTGGTAGTGTTGTTGTTTGTATGTTTTTTGGTTGTTTTTAGAAAACTTGGTTGTTAAAATTATTAAATATTAAAATCATTTAAATTTTCTATCATTTCTTACAATCAATCAACATTCCTTCCTTAAAGACGAAATAGAAATATAGCATAATATTTTTTTCTGTAAAAGCTCTCAGTAAAACAACATCAACACATCACATTGAAAAAGACAAGTAATCAATAACAATTTGGATTCTGCTAAAGTCAGCACTAGCTTGAACGATAACTCAAACTTTCCAGTACCGTCCATGAACATGTCTCAATCAAACCGAGCTTGCAAAATTTTGCTTTATTGGGTGCTCTGCCGGCATTCTTATTTATATATTGAATAAATACTGTGGTTACATGACGTCATTTCAAAAACAAAGACATCTCATTTAACACGTCACACTATCACTCTAGAAATGAAATCATCTGTAAGAAATTACGAAAATCAATCTTATGAACTTACGGAAGTATAATAAGAAGCGGTATTTTTACTGCAAATTTAATTAGCATCAATTGACAATCAGCTTTATCATTTAATGACCATTAAACTTTATGAATCATTTATCGGCTATTGTATTGAATTGCTTTCCAACATTATTTTATGGTACTCCCGCTTTATTAAAGGGACTTCATTTCATAGTGCAAAAAGACCTAAAATGGAAAGCTTTGCAACGCTTTTCCTTCAATTCTGGCTAAAAATCGCACTCAGTATCAAATTTTAGTTCATTTAACTATTATTCTTTGCTAATTTGTGTTTTACTTTTTTTTTTCATTTTAAGTTCTTCACTTGATTAATGTAAAAAATCAAATTGAATGTTTTAGGTTATTTGACCTCAGTAGAGCTCCCTTAAAACCAATTCGTGAAATAAATATGAATTTAGAAACTTGTATTGTGTGTAACTAAAACCTTACAATTGTAATTATTATTTTCAATGCGCGCTTTAATGTTATGATTAATACTTTCCTGTATTATTAAGTATTTCCTGTGCTAAGGATTCGCGTTATATGCATAATGTCATATGAATCTTTGGTGTTAAACTGAATAGCGTGTATTAATATATGTATTAAAATAAACTTGACAATAGATCTGGTAAAATGGAAAAAAAAAATTCTGCTGCATCTCTTTTAACAATGCTAGTTCTTCTTGGGCAAAGCTGCGGTGCTAAAGTGCTCAATAGCTCTGGAACTGCCGGGAAAAATCTTGACGCGCAGACGCTTGTGAATTTTGGACGAGAATTTAATTATTCCTTGATCACGATGATTGGAAGAGTGATAGAAAATTATCACGCATGTACTGCGTGGTCAGAATGGACTGAATGTGGCACCATATTAGCTGATTTCTTCTCGACAAGAACGAGAACCAGACACTGTGTGGGCAAGGAAGAAACAAACATTCACCGTAATGAAATAGAGACAGGTGTGTGTGAAGGTAGAGCTAAAAACCCGTGCCCCCTGAGTTATGATATGACAACAAATGGATTTTGCCTGAAATTGTATAAAGACACCAAATCTAATTCGGAAGCAGAAGCCGTGTGCAAGAGTGACGGGGGATACCTTGTTAACATTGATTCGGATCAAAAGTATGATAACGTAAAGTCTATACTGATGGCCAATAATATAACTTCACAAATACACATTGACGGCAGCCGTGCTAACTCTCAGTGGAAGTTTTCTTATGGCATTGCAAACGGATATTTTCACTGGTTACCAAGTTTTCCATCCGCAACCTCTTTGTATGACTGTTTACGCCTAACTGGAAACAGACCTGAAGCAAAACGTCGATTCCGTACTTACAACTTCTTATGCGATAGTGGTCCGATTTCTTTCATATGCGAAATCGTTTTCAAAACTGATAGTAGCTATACAAAATGAGGAGAGAAAAATCTAAAAATGCGATGTAAAACTAAATTTATTTTAGTAACATACAATCATAAAATCACTGTATGTTTGAATATTTATTGGTATAAATTTGCGCTCTTCTACTGTTTAATCTTTTTGATAAAATTTACTGTTTTTTCTTTTCAAGACTTGTGGGAAATTTTTAATTTTCAAAAATTTTTATTATTTTTTTATTTATGTTCTTAATAAATTTCCCTGTTTTTTAAAAAAAGTGTTTTTTTTTTCCCACCCTTTTCCCTATTTTTTGGGTTTTGTTGTTGTTATAATTTTGTTTATCAGACGGTTTGCCTTTTATTTCATTCATTTAAATAGGGGAGACAAAATTTTTGAAATTCAATTTTTTTCATTAGCTTTAATTTTATTTTGGGGAAAAAAATTTTTCCTGACTCGATGTTTTAAAACTAATTTCTTTTTTTATTTTAAATTACGACTTTCTTTTTAATTTTTCAATTTTTTTTAAACAAACAAAAAAATATTAATTCTAATTATTTTTGAAAAAAAAAGGAATTTTCTTTCCCTTTTAAAAATGCTTTCAGTTTAAAATTATCAAATTTTTCCATAAAAAAAGGCGTTCCCCGGGTCAAATTTAAAATTCCCCCTTTTTTTTTTCAAAACAAAAATTCCCCTTGTTTCCAAAAAATTTTTTCTTTTTTTTAAATTTTTTTGTAAAAGGAAATAGATTAAAAGACAAAAAACCCGGAAAATGATTTTTACGAAAATTTTCGGTAAGTTTGTGAGATATTCGCAGTGAGATGTGATAAAATTTTTTATTTTCATGAAAAAAATTAAAAAGGGACTTTTAAAAGCGCACTAAGGTAATACCCTTTTCCTAATGTCTTTGGGTTTTTCGAGTTTCGGGGCCCGGGGCAAAAAATTTTTTTTTTCTTCTTATCTAATTTTCCCACCTTTATTAAGCTAAATTTGGTTTTTTTTTTTTGGGGTTTCCTTTTAAATCTAAATTTTCTCAAAAATTTTGGGGAAAAAAAGTCTCTCGTTTAAAAAATAAAGTTTAATAAAAAAAATTTTAAATTTTAATGGGATTGAAAAAAAAAGTCATTTCAATGCCGGTGATATATTGAATGCCGGACGAGACAATACAAAGTTTTTAAGTCGCTTCATATGCGGGAAGACAATTTTGCAGGCACTTGGCTATTTCATTAAAATTTTGTTGCAAAGAAACATAGGAAAACATAAAGTGAAAAACAATGGCACTAGTAGGGAATGAGCCACATACCTCTCATGTATTAAGCAATTACTTTACCGGAGGTGACTAGGACCTTGACATTAAGCAAGTGTGATTCTTTTTAAAAAAAATACTCCATTTTAATCCTCGTTATTACACGGAGAGAAACGGAAGTAGTATCGAATATTTAAATGATTGCCATAATTGACAGGTCATCAAATCAGACAATAACACATTTTTGTAACCTTCAAAAAGTTTCTTTAAAAAAATAAGGACAAAGTTGCCACGATATATCAAAATATGTTTTAAGACATGTATGCTATTCATATTTATTTTTTTAAATTTTGTATTTAGGTATTTGAATGATAGAATTGCGAGTAGAAATTGTTCTTTGTATTTCCTGCTACATCGGTCACCAAGTCCATCCACAAATTTGTTTGTAACGCAATCATTAACATTGTGCATATGGAAAAAAAACATACAAAGAAAATAAAAAATGGGTGTACAAGTCCCAAAGCCAAAATATTTATCTTTATAATAGTGGACTGTCCAGTGTATTACCAAAATTACAACGACATGTACATATTAAAAGATAAGAGTGTGTTTTTGTTTGTTGCTGAGAAAAGCTATAAAATCAGGATGTCAAAAATCGGCTAATATTAATGCTGTGTTAAGGTAGTTTTCAAATGATGTACAGATAGATGAGGAAGTTTAGTAATAACTTAATAAATATGTATTTATGGTAGATACAGTCCTCTTAAAAATGTTCTCTGCTTATATTCTTTGGCTGTAAACAACAAATGATTGATGTCCTTAATGAAAACACAATTTAATTGTTGTTTGATAATGTATTCCTTACAATCGTGTAATCAATCAATTCAATAACAATGACAAAATGGGTTTTGCGCATAAAAGAAATATGGATTGGTAAATACCTAAAGACGACCTGTCGTACGTATGAAATCATTCTGGCCGATTAAATCAATACATAGATTAGAGCATTTTTTCCAAAACCCGTTTTTTTGTACTCTGTTCAATGCAATACTCATGTGTGTTAAAAATCAGAAAAAAGAACTATTCTAAGCTGATTTCGATTAAAAAAAATTGGAACTTTTTATTATGAAATAAAATTAAAGGTAAATTGACAAACTGATTCAGGTCTTGCACTAGTCGCTATTTTTGTCATTAGTTTTGTTTGAAAATGGTAATACATTTACGAATGAACAACCGTCTTTAAAGGATTTTAAGGGAAAATGTAATTTATGTAAGAATGAATACAGCAAAGTGTACTATTGTATATGTCCTGTGCTACGATGACCATTCAGCGAATAAAACATGTCTGTTTTTAAGAAAGTGTATCTGTACTTTTGAAACAATAAAAAAATGAAAAAAGTAACAAAATCTCAATTTGACAAAAACCGATGTACATTTATGATAAGCGGACAAAATACCTATGTACTATTTGTTCAAATCAGTCCTTTTCATTATCCTTTTACATTTGTCAGACAGTTTCTTTAAAAAACATCTACGAAATATGGCTTAGATATTTCAACTTTACTGGCTATCAATGTAAACTGTCTTTGCCCATATTTAAAAAAAATAATATTTACAATATTATGTTGGACAAAAATTCTTTTCTTGCCAATTTTAGATGAAAAATATACATGCAGTAACTACTGACGTGCAGGTTTTCTAGTTTGTTGTAAACAGGAAAATAATGAAAAGAGGAAGTTTGAAATTAGTAAAATACAGTGTAACTTCTGAAAACCGAAGACCTGTAGGACTAACCAAAAAGTTCGGAATTTGGAAGTTTTCAGAATTCCGTAACGTTAAACAACAACGTGATGAAAAATGTATGAAGCTGATTAAATTTATAAAACGGCGAAATATAGATCTTTTAAAAAGTTTAAAATGTCACTGTTTTAAATTTCTTTATCACCTGTTACCTGTTACTGAATTTGTGGATACAATAGCATAATGTTTATTAACAATTTATCCTTAATATATTTCACGTATAACCTGCTTTTAACCTGTTTTTGTGATTTTTTGTTTGTTTAAAACTTTCATCAAGACTTCGAAATGTTTGTCGGGTAGTGACTCTTATAGGTGTCAAGATAAATGTTACTCCCGGGAAAATACTGACAATTCGAAGGATTTACAATTCAAATTTAATTATTTAAATTCCGCCATTTTAAATTTCCGGGAATTATAAAAATCACATTTCCCTTACTCAATCTCATAACGTTGCTGATATTTTTTCTGTCTTAAAATCAAATGCCAAACCAGACGGTAATTCTTATCATTTTTTACGCAAAAGTTTTTCTTCTAATAATTGAAGATCCAGTCAAAGAAAAATTATTGCTACTTTTCGTTTGAAGGTCCATCTATCATTTTTTTGTGATATTAATATTTATCTCAGGAAAACCCGAATGCCTTTCTTAATATATAAAGATTGGCTGATACTATTCCATTGAAATAACATAAATCATCACAAGATAAAATAAATAATCCTTTTCTGGGGCTGCCGTCCGTTTATTAATGTGTTAATATTTATATGTTAAATCAATATTCTTAAGTAATCGTTCAGCAAATTTTTTGTTTCTTTCCGTTTATATGAAAGTACGTTCGTTAACTGTGTTAGTGTTCGTGTATTTTAAGACATGAATTGTCCTGTCCCTGCCCATTAATTCATTTTTGTCACTTTCAAATCCGAGAATGACAAAAAGGTATATATCCTTAAACAATAAGGTAGAAATATATATGTTATATAAATAAAAAACAAACGGTCTTGAGAAAGGATTTACGCTCTGTTTATATTTGCATTTTTAACTACGTATTTTGATATTTGAGTAATAGCATTGCGAGCAGAAATGATTCTCTGTCTTCCTTACTAAATCGGTCACCAAGTTAAGTTCATCCACACTTTTCATCCAATCATTTACATTGTGTAACCGAAAAACAATATATTTTAAAAACAATTGAGGTACAAGTCCCCTAGCAATGATAATTATCTTTATTATTATGACCAATTTGACAAATTTGAAAATGACTTTATACACTGTATTTCCAAACTAACAATGATATGTACATGTTGAGGTATTTGTTTAAAGGTTATTTTCAAATGATGAACGAGGAAGTTTTGTGATATATTATATTTATATATTGCAGATAGAGAAAAACAGAAACACAGCAAAAATGTAAAATGTTGGTGGCTCGGGTTGATTGAGCCTGTTCATGGACGGTACTGGAACGTGCATGTTACCGTGCACGTCCCCTAGCAACGGCTTTAGCAGAATTCAAAATTTAAAAACAAAAAAGGTGAAAATTTGAATTTAGAAACATCCGCAGTTGTGTTCATAAACTTCATACGGCGATATCATGGAAATCGACTTTTCTACATGTGCTATACAACGGTTACCATTCAGTGAAGATGTCACAGATAAAATGTACATGTACGTTTAAAACAAATATGAAAACAAAAAGAAATCACAATTTGACAAAGAAACGATGGGCAGTAATAATATGCGGACATAATTATCTATCTGTCAATTGTTAAAAACACTTCAACATATTTAAAATTCATTGATTGTTTTAAGAAATTGCCGTAAGTTCCATTGCATTGTAAAGAATATGAATAAGCGTGTTATTGTAACAAAAGAATACAACATTAAATGTTTAACGCAATTTAAGGTTCACGAACGGGAGAGGTAATCTGAAGTTCCATTGTCGTATTTCTCCTTCTAATTATTTAACAACAAACATATTTTTTCATTCTTTCTTAAAACTAAAT